ACCTCTAGGTTTAATACCATGTTATTGGCTCAAGGATTTTAGTCATGAGTCTTGGTTTCATTTAGGGGTTATAACCATTTTCAAGATCCTTAACTGAATGAAGATGTATTTGTGATCATTTTCACCATCGTCTTTGAATTTCTAGAAGAATATAACTTTTTAGAAGTTCAACACAGGAGAAGTGAAAGTGTCAAGGAAGGTACCTCGATTCTGAGTAGCTGCTCTTTGGCCCTTTGCGAGTAGTAGACAGCATTTATTAAGTTGTAGCCATCTAGGAGTGAAGAACTTGAACTCCTGAAAGACTGGTGTTCCATCCTGGTCCTTTCTTATTGTTTAGAAAGCTTTGAGTAGAGGATCCTGAAAATCTATATTAGGGCAAATGAGGAGTCCATGGAGCCTCAAGTCTGTCTGAATTTAGCATGTTAGGACGTTTTGTCTCTTATAGGATAGTCATGCTCTGTAATAAGGTTCTCAGAGGTTAAGATTATATACTGAATTACCTGGTTATTATTTTAATCTAAAGCTCCCATTGCATTTCTTATGTCATAGAAACATGTTTAATTTTTTTATATTTTCACTAGTGAGGCCCAGAGTGTTTAATCTAATTGTGATATTTTAAAAAGAGTGAAATAATAATGGTATCAAAGTGTGTGATTTCATACAGATCTTTATGATTGGCAGCATCTTCTCATTCCCTCAACAATTTAGAAAGGAGTTGCTGTTTCCTGTGTGCTAAATGAATTTAGATGACATTGGTCTTAAAGAAGAGCCTTTTAAATATTAAAGTATTAATGCTGTTTAGCAGCAGGCTGCAGATGAAAATTTGAATAAAGATTGTTTAAGGTTTCTGTAGGAAGGCAGGTTTGAAATTAAAAAAAAGTTAAAACGAAGTTTTTTGAGTTTGGTTCATGGTATTGAATTCCTTCACACAATAGTCCTATATTTTTTTCAAGTTGTTATTACCTACTCATTGTGGGGATATTTTATGATATATTCAATATTTTTTAAAAATGTTTTTATAGGCAGTCCCTATTCAACAAAGGAAAACAGGTCAACTTGCTTCTGGAATTCGATCATCACTTCTCCCCACAGATTATCTGGTTGAAATTAACAGAATTTTACTTTCCATGGATGATGTTGAATTATCACTTAATGTTCCAGAGCTAAATACCGCGACCTATGAAGACTTCTCTTCTCAGGAAGACTCTCTGAAGGTGAATCTCCCGGCACTGCATTTGAATGGCTGTGGTTAATGTAGAAATAACGCAAGGAATTGGTTATTGTGCCTATTGAGATGGTCTATATCTTTTAAAATTTGTGCCAGGGAATTAATAATGTATATGAATAATAAACCTTTTCTGTATTCTCCGATAAAACATAATCAAAAAGTTTTAATTTTTTAAAAGTGGGTATGGATTTTTAAGTGTGCACAGTTATTAATTGTTTGCAACATCAGAGCCTTTTTAAAATCAGACACAGACCATATTCCTGTCTTGTAAACCTGATTGTCAGTTGATGTAAAATGTCAGCATGTAACAGGCCATTTATAATGCTTTAAGACTGGTCAGTTGTTGAGGTGTGGAATGGCATCTTGATTGTAAATTAAAAATCTGTTAAATTCTATCAGGGCATTTTTGTATAACTTGATTGAATTTAAATATAGTGTCATAATAAAATCACTGATAGATTTATAGGTTTGATAGTTCATTTCTGTCATTTAAACTAACATTATTAGACATTTGAAAATATAAATAATTCTAGCTTCAAACACGTAATTTTTTTAGAGAATGTTAATGAAGCTTCTCATAAGTCATGTACAAATGTTACTTTGAATCCTTACATCTGTGAGGATTTTTATTCCCCTCCCATTAGTATATTATGTGACATTCCTCCTACCTTGGCCAATATAGGGTATTATTTTTTTTTTTAAAGTTTCCAGTTTTCTTTTTTTTCCTTCTTAGCTTTGCCAGTTTTCATGAGCAATAGTTATTAGGCCTCATTAATATTTTAAATGAGTGTTATACAATATAAATTTTTGATCATCTGTGATTCCTTTTTTGGTTACTTTGCTGGGTTTTGTTAATGTATGATAATGTATTTTTAGAATATCAAAGACCAACTGGACAAACTTGGAGAGCAGATTGCAGTCATTCATGAAAAACAACCAGATGTTATTCTTGACGCCTCTGGACCCGAAGCCATTCAGATCAGAGATACTCTGACTCAGCTGAATGCCAAGTGGGACAGAGTTAACAGAATGTACAGTGATCGTAAAGGGTATGTGTAAATAAAATTAATATTTCATTTTTAAACAATGCCTATAAGTTCATGGGCCATGGAAATGGTCTTGTGCACATTGAGAACATCCTTGTAATATATTCTGGTTTGATAAATTATGATGAATATAGTTCCTTAAAGAAAGAGGAGTCTGATCATATATAGATGACCATTTATGACTTAACATCTTAATGGTACGTAAGCACTTCTAATTTTTAGTGTCTAAATAGTGTCTGTGTTCTTTAACAAAAAAAATTAAAAAGGATTTTCATTAATATCCGCTCTCTCTGTATACTTGGTGATAAATGTGAGTGAAGAACAGAGACAGCTATAGATAATTAGAATCCGTATATAACCCCAGACCCTTTTGTGTAAGCTTCTGTTTAAAAGAATGTTTTTGAGCCCCCTCCTTACTAGATTTTTGAGCAGGCCTATTAATAGATAGAAATAAAAACTGATAAGATTTTTGCCAGTAGCTGTGAATGTGGTAAAGAGGCAGATAAGATGTGAAATGGCCCAATATAAAGTACTGTATAAGGGGAACGTTAACACAGAATGATACATTGGAGACATACACGCAAAACCTAGGCATCATGTTCTTCATTTTTTAATATTTTAGCCTAGAATTTCATGTGACTAAGCAATTCTTGAGAAGATAGCTTATAATGGCCTTTCATATATGCCTTTGTATGGATTTTAAGAATTATCTCTTTGTACATTTAGAAAATATCCTTTTACATACATCTTTATCTGTAGTTTTATTAGGCTTGATTATTAGATGAAGACAAATTCGTTAAAAAAATAATAACATTTTGAGGCTCTGGATTATATCATGAAACTTTACTCTACCCCCGCCAAACAGTATTTGTAAAAGTGTCCTTGTTTTTGAACCCTTGCTAACATTGGCAGGCTTTTCATTTATTTTTTTTTAATTTTTGCCAATCTTATAGTGATAGATTGCATCTTGGTTTTATTTTCACTATTTGATTATCACTGAGATTTGGATATTTTTTAAATATATTTATTGGTGATGGCTTTGCAAACTCTACCTGAGCATCCTTTTGTACAGCTCTTTTCAATTTATTCCATAGCTATGCTTCTTAGATTTATTTGAAACTTAATGTTCTGTGAATGATGATATTGATCTTTTCTAAGTTTAATGTTTACATTCAAAGTCTTTAAATCTTTGGAACAGCCTGTCCAGTAATATTTTCTATTCATTATTGCAGTATCTCAAAAATTGGAAATTTTGATTGTTATGTAGTTATTACACATTTTTACAAACAATAATGAATATTTTAATATCTTCTCACAGTGTTTTGTTTGAAGTACTCTTATTTTTGTCATGCCCAAGAGAAAGTTGCTTTCCTGTGGGGAGTCAACAAATATTAACTGAATTTTAAAAAGAATTTTCATGGAAGAAAGCAATATAAGCATTATTTAGGGGTTACTGAAGTTACAGACCATTTTATTATTTTTAAAAAATGATATAAT